ACGGGTCTTGTCGGTCGATCGATCTAAAATCAACGGAGTTACATACATATACACACACATAGTGGTTCAGTAATCGCAAACGAAAAGGGAATGATTCTTCCTCTCTCTTCGCTTATTTGATCATCTCTTTTCTGATTGTACCTCCGTATTTCTGGGACACCCTATACTTTCACTCATACTCTATCACGCTTTCGTAGTATACGTTAGAATATTTTAGTTTAGAAATCGATCCATTTTTGATAATTAGACGGATAATTTTTTCAGCATCCCTTAAATCTTCTTCTCTCTTCTGGTTTTTTTTTTTCTCGATCGATTCGCTTTTAATGACATGCTAACACGTATCGTTCTTTGCGATCTTATATTTTGTTTTTATCTACATTACGTGGAAGGAAATATTTGCGAATCATCCATGCGAAACAAACGTTTCGTTTGTACAAGAAATTGTGAAATTTCGAATATTAATTTGAATCGTATCGTCAATCAAATTCGATTAATTTATCAATCGTCGAAAATGAACAAATAGCGGTAAATTGCCGCCAATGGATATTGCGCACAGATATACCGACGGAACAAGGAACAAAGAATTTTAGAGATCGATTGTAATTTTCTTTCTACCGTTATTTTTCTCTCCACTATTTGTCTCACACTGGCCATATTTTTCTTTTCATAAATTTATTTCTTTCTCTCAATGTTTATTTTCTTTTTTTTTTTTTTAATATATATAAATATATGCGCAATATTTTTATAGAAAAATATAAATTTTTCTATCCATTGGAATAACAAAATTTATATTTATGAAAACAATAATTTCAGTCATAGCATTAATAACACAGTAATTTTTCGAATATGGTAAATATTTCCTTCATTTTACGTTCATTTTTTTTTATAGAAATGCACTATTTATATCTTATTATATTTTTCACGATTCTGTCTAATCTGCATTCGGAATTGACATTATTTTTCGTATCCATACTTTTTATATTCATTGATTATCGTAGTTAGTTACCTATATTATATTAGACAATCCATAAATATCAATACTTTTCACTAGGAAGATTAATTTCTACCAAATTAATATTACCAATGTTAAAAATGTAAAAGATATTTAATATTACACTTATTAGGAAAAATATAGAATATAAAAATTTTTACAAAGAGAAAAAAAATCTATTAACAATAACATATAAATCTAAAACGGATTCAAAATTTAAACATATATATACATATATATAAAATTAATTATTATTAAAATATATGACAATCATTATTAAATTATATCAATGTTGCCTCATAATTTAGTTTATTATATTTAATTAACACCAACGAATCAAAATTAAATTTTTATCAAATTATCAATAATTTATAATTTTTATATTGTCTCATAAAACATTCGAATTTCAACATATATATATTTTTCATCTGTTTCGAATAAAACTATACAATCTATAATATTGCCTATACCGCATCTATATATGCGCACACAAACGAAAAGTGTATTTACATTTTAGTCATCGATAGAACGTCCCGTCAATCAGTTTTAAAATAAATACACATTCCTTCATATTTGCCTACGTACAATACAGATTCTTTGCATGTTCGAATATTATTTACACATTACGCAAATAAATAAATTTTATTTTTTGTCTTTGTGAGTTAAATTATAGTAAATTATTTCCTTTTATCACTTTGACAGTTAAATCGCACCGTCAATAATTAAATCGATATGTACGATTTCAATATATTTTCACATTCAATCTCATATTTCTATTACTTAAATATAAATGTGTAGTTAGATTTAAACATTGATTAACATTTTTCAATATTTTTCATCGTTCATGATTTAAAAGCACTTAGAAAATACGATTCGGAATGAAGATCTATTTTAAAATATAAAAGTAATACGAATTGGAAAAAGTAAGGTTAAGTTGATCTGATCGCGTAAAATTTTACGAAAATTGACACATATTAAATACTAATATTTTTTTTTTAATAAATAATAAGTTGATATATGTGAAATGTGGATTTCTCAATCAAAATCACACATCATTTCTATATCCACATATTTCAACAAAATGATTATATATATTTTTCAGTGATTCTAAAATTTATAAATTTTTCAAAATGCTACATTTTTTTTAATTCCATAATATTTTATTTGCTAATAAGAAAATCTATGTATAAGAAAAAAAAGATATCAAAATTCTATGCCAGAAAGTCAAATTTTCGTATAGCCAACTTAATATATATATATATATACTTATATATCACACATATGTAGCATTCTCTCTGAAGAAAATAAAATTGAATTAAACGCGCGCACACACACAAATAAATCTTCACGTAGTTTATCAATTTTCAATGATATTTTGCCAAGCATGATTTTTACGGCTTATAAGCCAAGGTTATGCTTTGATATGGTATTGAAGATGTATTGTTAGGTTAGGTTAATATCGGCGTTTGTAAGGTAGGATCACAATATTAATGTGGGATGAAGGAACGATCGATCGATCGTTCCTGAGCGGATACAAAAGAAAGCTTGACGCATCCCGATAACCAATAAATGGCTACATCAACGCAGGTAACCGACGAACAGCCAGTGTACGCTCGGTGGGCTACTCGGACCTTTTCGTCCTTAGTAAGAAGGATATGTGGGATGTATTAAAGGAGTATCCTGCGGCTAGGATCAGATTAGAAGCCATTGCAGTGAAAAGATTGGAAAAATACAAGAGAGCTCCTCTCGAGAAAGGTAAGAATATATATATTGTTAATTTTATAACCTAACAAAATTATCCAAACAATTGATCAAACAATATTGTTTATCATGTCCATTAATTATAATAGAATCATTTAAAATTTGAATATTATGATGGATAATCTGAATTCGATAATATAATAGGAATAAAATTAAATAATTAGTACTTACTGCATAGTTAAAACACGTACTTTAAATCGGTATCGTCACAGTAGTTTTCGACTGAATAACACTGCGTTACTAACGTTCCACAAGTTTCTCTAGCTACTTTCTAATTGGCTAGAGCGGCATGGATTTTTATCCACTCAAAATTGCGCGAAAATTGAAACATTGTATTATATACATTAATTGTTTCAATAATATCTATTAGAAATATAAAAAAATAAATTTATAAAATTAATTTAATATAAAAATTAATCAAATAAAAAAGGATTGGAACATAAAAAAGTATTTAAAAAAATCTTTTATTTAAACGTATTCAAATTGATTTAAATATAATGATATCGATTGGCAGAAAAGGAAATAATAAAAATTAAAAATTAATCGATTATATTGCTTCACATTTTAGCATATAAGTATAACTTTAAACTCTATACAGTCCTGAATATCAGTACTGTTAAGAATATATATAGTGGCTATATATATAGTATATATAGAATATATATACTGTTAAGAATATATATCTATCAGTGATATTATTATGATTGAGTGATTTATGATCTCACAATTTGAAAATAATTGCTGAACTAATTAATACCAAAAGCATAAAAAGATTTTCGTGGTACTATAAAAGCATATTAATAAGATATTTTCAATAAAAATATTTTTGGTGAAAACCAATCAGTGTATTATATTTGCAAGAAATGAGTGTCCTGTCTACAAGTAGTTCAGTGTTATATGTACATATTTAATTCGATAAAATTCGTAAGTATAATTTTATAAATATTTTCCTATCTTTATTTAATATTCTGAATTATTAATAATTATTTAAGACAGAACACAAATCGATAGCTAATTGTTTTATAAAACAAAAATTAAAAATTTTTTATATAAAAATAATTTTTTAAATCACAATAATAATGTTAATGTTAATCCAGAACTTCATAAAGTAGAGGTTAGAAAGCATCTCGCCACGAAGTCGAACAAAGAACGAACAAAAACATTAAATCCTATTTTAGAATCTTTATCTTACTGTGTATCGGTAACAAACGTGTCTAAACCATGAAACTTTAATTAATTAATCCGAAAGTTAAAACAAAACAAATGCAACTCATCTTCCTATTCGCGGTTCTTTCGTGTTGTTCTTTCGCTGAAAGAAAGTTACGAACGGACTTTCGAACCAGAGAATCGTATCATGTACACATACATGCATATGTACATGTATACGTATCTACTTCGAGGCAGTAAAGCGCAACACATATAGACACAGATATGTGTATTGGAGCGCGTGCGCGTTCTCGACACTGCAGTGACTGCACAATGAGAAAGGCTGTGGCTTAATTAAAGAAGCTCACGGTGGTGAAAATGAGAGGCGGTTAGACGTCATTGCCGAAGCGCAACTGGATCTGCAAAGCCTATTCTTGAACAAAGGACTCGAACACAAAACAAAGCGAATAAGCTTGAGACGAAATTTGAGAAAAAAAAAAAGAAAGATAAAAGAGAAAGGAGATCACACTCGTGAATCAACTCGACATGGAATAACGAAGAATTGGTTCATATGTTTCAACTTTATTGTATTTTGCCGCAATATGGATACCATTATTTGAAACGTAATATAAAGTAATACATTGATTTGGAAAAAAATGTATCTTATGTGGATATATATTACATTAATTTTCAATTTAACTTTACAAATTAAGTTTTTCGATAAATGCCTATCATAAGATTCGTTTATAAAAGTATGACGAAAAGTAATAATATTTCATAAATAAAAAATTTTAATTTCGTTTCAATTTTTTTATTTTTATCTCGTATTAACAATTTTTATAAAAAAAAAAAGAAAAATAAATAAATACAATTTTTACCGCAGAAATAAAACAGAACAGAATTTCTATAAAATTTATTCGAGCGGTATTAAAATTAAAACGCATTAATTCCAGTTACCTTAAATTGTAGGACACAGTTTTTATATTCAATTATTTTCATTAAAATTGATATTACATGTTTGTATATTATGTTTCTCTTATAAAAAATTAATTAATATTAATTTTCTAACATGAATAATTAATTAAGAAAAAAACATTTCTTACAACATTTCTCAATTAAAAATAATGAATTTGATAAAATGATCTACGTCCTATAAGCAATTCCCTCAACACGAGAAGATTCTTAATTCAACTTCCATTATAAACAACATTGCTTCCCTGAAAACGAACTCGATACATCTGTCCTGACACATTTTACGACTACGATACAAACTTGCAGCTGCAATGGGTCGATGTCAAAGCACGCCAGGACTCGTGGAGTCACGAGGTCGTATACCATTGGAGGAGATGTGGGTTTCGCCTGTGGATACAAAGTCCACTCACGCGTACTCGACCGGCCACTCGTTGTTCTCCCCCAGCCCGAGTCCTGTGACGTCGCGTGGTTTGGCCAGCACCAACGTCAACGTGAACAACGTTGCGAGAAGCATGGATAGTCCGATGAGTGCCACTAGCAGCGGCCACAGCAGCGAGGACCAAACCACCAGGGCACCGCAATCCGCCACACAG